AAATTGTACTTGCTAAAAATAGTTGCAAAGTTCTGCTGAAGGTGGGTACCAGACTTGGCCAAATTTAGCTTAACTGAACTGCTTGGCCTAAAATTGATGGACAATAGCTACTTTCAATAAAATTGCAGAGGAATAATTTCTGTTCCAGCCTTTTCTTTGACAGCCTCAGATTAGTTGCATTTCTCAAAGTTATCTAATTTTTTCTTGATGTCACAATTTCCAAATCCATTAACTGAGTCTCCTGCAACATATGTTTTGGTTCCTGCAAATTCCATACAAGGTCTCTCCGTCTCTTGAACATTTTGGTTCCTTCCTTATCTTCAATCACCATCGAGAATTGCATCAGATTCAACGTGTGATGTTGGTCTGTCAATGCTGATTAGGCCAAGGTAACCACCCTTTTTGTGTTTCTTAAAGGAAGCTTGCATGGTATTAGATTTCTTAAGAAAGTTGATTGGTATCTGTTTTGAGGACATATGACCGATGTTAATATGATGTTTTTCTGTGTTTTGCAGGTAGTTTTCCAATTTATGTGCATTGGAACAATCATTAATTGCTGCAGGGGAACTGCTTTTGGTGTTTGATCCTTTTATCAAGATTGAAATGTCAGCCTGTTCCATCACAGCATCTGCAAGCTCAAGGCCTAATTTGTCGAAATAGAAGGCATTCGTTACGTTTTACATTATGTTTGCTCATCTTCCAGGAGCTGAGCCAACTAACTATACAAAACCATCATCCACGGAGAAAGAAACCGAGGAGCAGACAACAAACAAATCTCCTCAAATCTCTGTCACCTACATCTACACGGTGGAGGTAGCAGAATTGCTCAGCAATGTAACAGTTACATGGAACAAAAATGTTATGAACTGTTCTCTTAGCATTAGTGTAGAAAACCCTTTGGATGAAAGTCATTACACTTGCAAGATTGATATAAAGACTTGGCAGTTTTGGGGGAAAAAAGGTCTAAAATCTTTTGAAGTAGATGGAAAAAGAGTAGATGTTTACTGGGATTTTCGACAAGCGAAATTCTCAAACCATGCTGAGCCCTTATCAGATTACTATGTTGCTTTGGTCTACAATGAAGAGGTGGTTTTAATGCTTGGAGATATGAAGATGGATGCTTTCAAGAGAACCAAAAAGAGACCATCATTGACAGAACCTATATTGCTGTGCAAGAAAGAAAATGTGTATGGGAAGCGATCATTTTGTGCCAAGGCAGTGTTCCAAAAAGACAAGACAGAACATGACCTCGTCATTGAATTTTCTTTGTCAGGACTAGGTGATCCTGAAATGGGGATTACCATAGACGGATTCGAGGTGATTCGAGTAATGAATTTGAATTGGAGATTTAGAGGCAATGAGAATATGAAAGTGGATGATGTTGGGGTACAGATTTTTTGGGATGTTCATGATTGGTTGTTTACTGGCTCTAGCACAAGTCATGGACTGTTCATCCTGAAGCCAGCAGCAGAAGAAGGTGGGGATGATAAAGTTGGAGATGGTAGACATTGCAGAGGCAATGATGGAGGCATGTATGATTCACCAAAGGAAAGGTCTTCTTCAACACCAGGGTTTTTCC